AAAAAACCCCGCAACTTCGCTGTGGATGGAAGTCTATTTTTAGAATTCCTGGTTTTCTCTTGGCGTCACCCATATATGAGTGTATTTACCAATTCCGAAATTAAATTAGAGTGGCCTTAGCAATCGAGAAAATCAGCAGCCATAAGCAGCTCCAAAGCAATGGTAGGATCAATATTGAATTGTGGTATTTCACTTGTGGAATTATTGTAACGAACTTTATAGTACAAATATTGGCAAACTTTCTCTAATATCACAGCTCTAAAAATGGACTAAGGTTATTTAAAATATCAAAGATTGTAACATTGCGTAGACAATTAACGGGTTGAAACCCATACTTAATATCCCGAAAATGAATCGTATTTTGTTCTGACTCCATAAATTGACCTGTATTAAATAGATCAGTAAAGTTAATTATGTAAAAGTCTTGCTTATAAGTTTACTTTTTGATAAAAAAAAAAAATTCTTACCAGGACTTGATAACATATTTTTTATCGTTCCGGAAATGAGGGCTGCATTTCTTTGGATAATAAACTCGAATCCGTCTGAACTAATAAGCTTTACATATTCTGAAGTTGAGTTTCTTGACATTGTTATTTTTTGATAAACGTTTAAACATCAGTAACAATAATATAAGGGAGTATCCAATCAACACTGTTACAAACAATTTGTAACCAATCACCTTAATTGCTAACGGATCATGATTATTGTAGTGGATATAAAGAATGGAAGCCGAAACGAAAACTGTAACCAAGAACGATTCAACCTGGCTATTAAGTGTTTCTATCATGAAAAAGTTATTATTTATAATAATGTTTTTGTAGTAAGTAGTTCTTTACGGTTCTGATTTCTGATTCAAATCAAGAAAAAAAAAACCAACATTTTTGGTTTCTAAAGCCTCATACTTCAGATCTTGATGGTGGACATAACGTCAGGAACTAACATTAACGCTCATGACTACAAACAAATACCACCGCAATCGAAGTCAGTAGAATCGCTAATACAGGAGCCAAATTCTTCGGTTCCCGAAGATTGTGAGTTGACTGGAGAATGCACCTGTGTCATTGGAGAATGCGAACCTTGTACTCCAATAGAATTGGTAAATATATTTACTGGTATTTGATTAACAATTTGGTAATATTTACACAATTTTTTTGTTTGGATCATTAATAGACATCAGGAGCTTCTTATTGTGGAGTGCATGGAAACAAAGAGGAGATTAAGTGTGAATGGAATGATACATCAAAAAATGGTAGTTTGCCTCAAGGTCCTCAATATCGACCATGTCGACGAGTTAAAAGATTTGAAAAAGCAAAATACATTGAATTTCAGGTTTGAATGCTTTGATATGTAATTTATGATGATGCATATACAACTTGGGCTAATAATTTATTCTTTACATTTATAGTTTGTTAATATATTCATTGCATGTATATCTTGTGCTATTCTGTATTATCGGAGGCAAAAACTCACTGCGGATGGTTATAGAAGGTTGGCCAGACGTATCAATGGTAACATATAGATTTACAGATGAAATTTTTGATATCATTTATTAGAATGCGCTTGAGATATCTACAATTAAACATTCATAATATGCACGACTTTGATTATTAACAAAGAAATTAATAAGAGCCGAAAAGTAGACACAAAAAATCATCCAAAGTTCACGGTTTATGAATTAGCGTTGTTAATAGAATATATTAACAGCTCTCTTACGAGAGATTTTGATTTATTTGTGATGGAAATGTTACGGCTCATCTGCTGTAGTTAACGAGTAGAATTATAAAATTATATTCAGAGAACTCATAGTTATTACATTATTTAGTTTTTACAATGTAAATAGAATTTACAATAAATGTTAACTGTAAATTTCGTATATCAGATGTAATATTCTACATAGTAATTTTACCTTTTTCCTGATGATTGATCTAAAAGTCTGTTAGTTATTACCTCCAAGCTAATACGATAGTATATCAAATAATACTATCGGGACTAAAGATGCGGTGAAATTAATTTTGATTGGTGGAATTGGTGTTAAATTCGTCCCGGGCGATGCCCGGGGCACGGTTTCGATTTTTTCTAGGTTTTTAATTTGTAATTTAGAGTTTTCTAAGGATTCAAAGTTTTAATTTTTTTATAATAATAATTTTTATAATTTCTAGTTTTTAGGTCCAGGTGATGCTGGGCATGGTTTAATTTTTTTATAGTTTTTAAACTTTTTTAAATATCAGTTGGATATTTTATAGAAGAGGTGGCAAACACCACTATTAAAAAATTAATGATTACTAATTTTAAAAAATCTACGGTGAAATAATAGGCTCATGTTCACATCTAACGCTGCACAAAGTTAGTTTTTCCCTTTGTATAATATGGAATCAGTAAATTGAGTTGGTAGTCAAATATTTTTCTATCAGTTCTATCGGATAATTTCGGAAAAATTAGATCAAGTTATGAAAATTTTAAATAGCAAAAATGGAATAAGTGGCACAATTGGGGCTTAAAAAAAAAAAAAAAAATCAAAAATTTGAAAAAAATAGGTTGGCAAGTAATGCAAAACGAAAAATTAACTTTGCGTGGCCTAAAAACCATTTTTTTGCATTGTTTATTTCCATGAAATATTTTAATATTAAAATGAATTTTTGTCAAAATATCTTTGCCATCTGCGTGCGTTATATTGAGTATATACGCATTAATTAGATAGAATACACACATAGTTTATTGCAATTACTGTATTCGTACTTTTTGGTCGGGTTTAGGATTTTAATTAGCTTGTCAATTATTATTCCATCTAATATGCAAGTGGTATGTTCAATTTGATGAATTTGGAAAACCAAAAAAATTGAAAGAAACATCTCAACAATTTAATTAGCTATAATATATTATTTTAGGATTGGTGATATATGAATGAAAACCTGAAAATCTAAAAAAAAATCACTTATGAATTTCATAATTGAAATTTCTGGGTTTTTATTTTTAATACTTATATCCATATAAATCTAGTCATAATTTTTTATAAAATACTTTAGATTTTTAGATTTACTTTTACTGCACTTTTAAAATCATCAATTCTGCAATCAATAATTCAAGCAAATATTATAATATATCTAATGGACTGTTTAATTGTTAGTCGCATTTGCAACAGTAATGTCTTGAACTATGTATATATGTATATTAAATAAAGTTGTTTGCATATTTTCGATATTAGTAAACAAAAAATACAAAATTAAAATTAAAATTATAGTTTTTTGTTAAGACAAATAATAATCACCAAAATAATTTACTTAGTAACTTATTTATATACTAATATTTTATATTAAGATGAATAACAGGAAATCTTAAGAGAAGAATTTGAGCATTTCGACATTAACGATTCAAAAGGAACTCACAATTACTATTATTGGAGGTGCAAAAGTAAATACCAAAAATTTAAAAAAAAAAATAAGAAAGGAAAGAATAATATTTATCTTGAACAAGAATTTATTATTGATCTATTATTTTAATAAATTAATTACAAAATAATAAGTGATATAGGTTGACCTAGGCCCAACGGTTGGGTCGATAGGTGGGTCGACCCTCAGTCTGCACCTTTGTGAGCCAGGCCGGTTGATAAGCAAAGTGCTAGAATCAATTTTCTTTTAACTGATATTTGAAACTCACTAGATGAGAATTTTAGTATAAGTGAGTATAGAGTCAAGCTATAAACTTATATATTTATTATTGGATAAGATTGGATAATATGAAACCAGTTAATTAAAACCAAATTAATTATATAGCAACCTTTTATAAATCTAATAAGAAATTGAAAAAAAAACTAACAAAGATATTTTTTATTTGAGACTAAATAAAATTAATTAGTATTCTAAAAAGCAAAATTTGCCAAATTTTACTTATAAAATTTAGGTGTATCAATCATAAATTTTGTGTTCATCTTTTAATTGTCTCCAAATATTTAATTACATCTATTAAATTAGTAAGAACAGATATTCTTTTATCATTACAAAATTTTTTGTATTCTCTATCAACAATAGTGAAATCCTAATTCTTTATCCAAATTACCTAAAAATATTAATGTCTTATATAATATACTTATGCATCAAATTTTAATCAAAATTCATATATTGAAACTTATATATCTGAAGATTTGATTTCCAAGCTAATTTGATATTATAAAAAAAATCCTCCAATATGATACAATTATCTGGCTCAAAATTTGCTTTTTCTATCATTACTTTATATTTATCCAATTCTTTGACTCTTTTATTGTCTCTATAAATAACATGTATAAACTTAATAAACAATTTAATAATATTAGGATTTGCATTTTTGTTAATTTTTTTGGCATAATTTTTGTGAAACGAATTCGTAGCTATTAAAAGTTTATAATCACTACATGACGCATGCTCGATGAATTTTTTAGTGCCTGGCATCAAGCATGCTTTAGTAAATTTCAGATGATATTTTTGTTACTTATCTTCCAATAAATTAGAACTAATCTTTACTCCATTTTGTTTAAGTATTTCTGCCATATATTGGTTTGATTCTTCAAAAGTTAATCCTATCTGATCTACATAGTACAAGTTTTTGTATTAAATATTGAATAAACTAAATATATTTTTATCTTTATTTTTATAGAGAAGTTCTATATTAATCAACAGACTATCTAAATTACAAATTAGTTTTAATATAACTTAACTTATTAATTTGACATAATTTCTAATAGGCTTAATTATAGAAATAGAAACAATACTTAATATTAAATATTCAAATTTTGTGTTTTTAATTCTGTTTCTATTGTATGAACAATTAATACTGCACAGGGTTTAAACTACTATAGTAATTTGCTAGCCTGAATCTTATTGTTTAAAATATTCTTTTTGTTACAGCAAACTAAATATTTTGTTTCATTTTTAATTTATAGAACAAATTTGTTAAATTAAAACTATTTGTAGTCTCTTATTATATTAATATAATAATGGTTATTAATTGTAGCAATGGAACTTACACTAATTAAATAGTGTATATGTATATACTGTATATCTGACTGGTTATTAGTATAATATCTTATATCTTTGAAATTTTTATGTTTTTTTTAGAATTAGTTTTTTTTTTTTTTTTTGATATTAAGGTGATTATTTTGGGGTCTGACACATTTTATTAACTTAGGTTACAAATGTTAGGGCAACTACAGGATTACCTCTGACCTTGTTATATTAATAAAAGTACATTCTAGCTATATCTGTATCTTTTAAACACCTAATTTAAGTAGTCAGCTTATTACTAGATTCTACACTAGATGCTATATCTGTAACTCACTATTATTTGAGCTATTCAATTAAACCCTCTGATCAACTTAGCACTGTTGGATATTTTTCTCAAAGAGGAACTGCAGTTAAGGCTCATTAGAACTAATTTATCTTTATAATAAACCTGCTAGAGCCTTCTATACTTACAATCTGGCTAATCTAATCTTTTATTTAATATGCATAGGCTGAGACCCACCACTTATAGCCAGTTTCTATAATAGAAGTGTTCTCTGGCTATTTTGTTCTTATTAGTTTTTTGGTAACATTTTAACTAACTATAGCCTGATTTCTGCTATACAACTTACTTCTTGCCCTTATAAAGTTTACTCAAACCTCAGTACTCTCTTCAAAACAACCCAGTATCTTTCCTTTTTAGTATTCCCTAGCTGGTCTCCTCAGACTACTAATCCAAATAGCTCAAAAGGGATACCAGTCCCTTGGTATCTGTATTGCAAATCTTTTTTCTCTAGCGTTTTAGCAGCCTGGTTGGTAAAGTACTTCTCTCCGAATATTTGTTCTTCGTCTAGTTATACCAGCCTCAAGTGGAGCCTATTTTAATAGTACTATCAAAAGTCTTTGTTATTTTTCTATTCAGGACTTGTAAGTGAGCACTCTATTGTCATATCAGCTCTGTAGTTTTCTGCAACCTCAAAGAACTTATTGAGGGTTTGTACTAACTAAATCGGCTTGCATGTCTTTGTATAACTTCTTCATTACACAAATACTTCAGAATCTTCTAATTATTATCTTAATAGAATTTTTTTATTCAATACTCTTTCCCGTACATCACTAAAATTAAGTAAACAAAAAAGTAAAAATCGAAAAAACCATAGAACATAATTAAATAA